CCTCCCAAGTGCTAGGCATTGTCCTTGACTCTGAACCCAACAGTGAAATGGAAGATCCCCATCCCGGAGGAGGGTGGGTCCAGAGAGAAAACAGGCCGAGAGAGTAAGCGTGTAAGTAACTAAGGCGCTTTGCAGCGCGGGGACGTGCTGTGAAGGTCACAAAACAGCAGGGGTCCTAGAGAGGGGCTGGCGGGGCTGCTCTGTGCAGGGTGGTCAGGGTGGGCTTCTTGGAGGAGGTGGCAGCTGGACTCGAAATGATCGGAAGTCAGCCAAGCGAAGCAGAAAAGCCATCAAAAGCCCAGAGCCAGAGAGACTTAAGGCAGAGAGCAGGCCACGGTGGCTGGCATGCAGTGAGAAGGGAGGAGACCAAGGTCAGGAGTTTGGAGCTTATTCTGAGTGCAATGGGCAGCCATCTGAGGCCCCTGAGTAGGGGGATGTCATGTATTCTTTATGCTTCAGGGACACCTCCCTGGCTGTAGTACGGAGGATGACCTGCAGGGGGCAGGAGGAGACAGGTGTGGGACAGGAAACCAGTGGGAATGTCCTCAGGGTCGGGGCTGTGACTGTGACTGTGAAATGGTGAAACGTAGACACAAGTCTATTCTGGAGGCCGGATGAGGAGGCGAGGAAAAGAGAAATTAGAATAAGTCAGTGTTCTGGCCGGAACGAGCTGGCTGGCTGGTGGTGCCTGTATTTATGATGTGACAACTTGGGGAGGCCTGGATGTGGGGTGGGGTGGAGGGAAATTAAAGGCTAGTGCTGGCTGTGAAATGCCCGTTAGGCATCCAAGCAGAGGTGACAGGTGGTTAAATAGACAGGTCTGGAGGTCAGGGGCGAAGTCTGGGCCAGACCCACAGGTTTGAGATGGTCTATGAAGCCACAGCACCAGGTGAGACCCACCGTGGGAGTGAATGAAGACCAAGGAAGACACCTGCGGGGCAGCTGCCAGGGAGATGCGGTGGAGGAGGAGGAGCGGGGAGGGGAGCAGCCTGAGAAGGAGCAGCCCTGAGGAGGAAGAGAACCAGGAAGTCCACCCGGGAAAGGTTCTCAGGAAAGCAGACAGGGGCCAAGTATGCCAAAGGCCGTTGACAGATAGGAAACGAGGCGAGAGAATTGAGCTTTGGCTTTAGCAAGATGTAGGTCACCGATGATATGAATGAGAGCCAGTTCCTGTGATGACAGAGACGAAGAGCTGACGGGAGCCGGATGGAGCACGGATGGGGAGGAGGAAGTGGAACCGTTCGTACAGGGGCCAAGGGAAGGCTTCTCTAAGCTGGGCTATGAGGCAGCTTAATGTCCAGGGGACAATAAATGGGGGGGTGAGGGGGGAATGGCTAATGTGGGAGCACCCGCGGGAGTGAGGTCTTCAGAAGGACTGAGGAGGTGGAATCCAGTTGGCCATGTGGGATTTGGCTTCCAGAGGCTGGGGGGTCGGGGAGTCAGGGGGAGTTGGGTGGTTCTCTCGTGATTACATCAATTTTAAAAATATATTTTATTGATTTTTTTACAGAGAGGAAGGGAGAGGGATAGAGAGTTAGAAATATCGATGAGAGAGAAACATCGATCAGCTGCCTCCTGCACACCTCCTACTGGAATGCCCTTGACCGGAATGGAACCTGGGACCCTTCAGTCCGCTCTATCCACTGAGCCAAAGCGATCAGGGCTACATCTGTTTTTTTCTTTGACTTACGTGGTGCCTTCACCAGCTGAAATTGAGGCCGGGATTGTGGGAGGCCCAGGGGAGTGGAAGGCACGACTCAGTCTCTCAAGAGGGAGGAAGCACAGCTTCTACGGCATGGTGGAGAAGTCGGGGGGGGGGGGGTTTCTGGAAAGTCACCATTTTGATTTTGAAGTGAGTCCAATGGCCCGGGTGTGCTGGCTCTTGAGCAAAAGTTGATTTCAACCAGAGCTCGGGGTTTTGCCAGGTGAGGACGACGGATGGAGAAAAGGGTAAAGGAGTGAAACTCCGGGTAGTGATCACCAGGTTGGATCCAGGCCTCCACGCTGGATAAGGAAAGCCTGAGGACCTGGCTGAGGGGGCTGCCAGGCTAAGGCCAGTGGCTTGGAGATCTGGTGGGCTTAGGGAGTCGTTGGCATGGGGCTAGTTTGGTATCTGGACTGGAGAATGGGAGCTGATGGTCAGGGTGTGGGAGGTTTGAGGTTATTGGGGTGACAAGATCAGGTGTATCCATCTGAAGGTGTGGCTGAGGCGGAACGGAGGAAAGGCTGTGGAGTCAGAGGTTCTCTGAACTCTCTCCCCTCCCAACTTGGGGAACACCCTCTCTGAGTGAGAAGGGGGAACCTCTTCATTGGACAAACAGGAGGTGCTGGGGCAGAAACCGAGCATGTCGGGAGCTGGAGTTCTGAAGCTCAGTCCCTGGTGAGGTTAGATTCTTGGTGTCATCCTCCTCCCAACTTCCCACCACGAAGGGCTCCCTTCTCCCCCTTTCTCTGACCCTGGAGCTTAAGGCTCTCCCTCATCACCCAGCATGCCCCTGGGCACAGCTTTTCCTGCACTCCCCAGTCCTCTGGGGGGTCCCCTGCTGACGTTCAAGTCCACAGATGCAAGGACCACCTTTTAGGTGTTAACCAGGCTGTGTGTACTAGTATCTTTACAAATGTCTGATGGCAGATCTTCACATTTGTTCATTCATTCACTCACTCAGGTGATCATTCATGCATTCATTCATTCATTCAAGTGAATCCCTCTTATTTTTTCTTCTTCTTTTTTTTTTTTAATGTTTTTAAAAATTGATTTCAGCTGGGACCGGTTTGGCTCAATGGATAGAGCATCGGCTTGGGGACTGAAGAGTCCCGGGTTCAATTCCGGTCAAGGGCATGTACCTTGGTTGCGGGCATATCCCCAGTGGGGGGTGTGCAAGAGGCAGCTGATTGATGACTCTCTCTCATCGATGTTTCTAACTCTCTATCTCTCTCCCTTCCTCTCTGTACAAAATCAATAAAATATATTTTAAAAAATAAATAAATAAATAAAAAATAAATAAAAATTGATTTCAGAGAGGAAGAGGAGACATAGAAACATCAATGATGAGAGTGTATCATCGGCTGCCTCCTGCATGCCCCCTACTGGAGACCAAGCCTGAAACCCAGGCACGTGTCCTGACCTGGAATCAAATTGTGACCTCCTGATTCACAGGTTGACGCTCAGCCACTGAGTCCCACTGGCCAGCCAGGCGAAGTGACTCCACCTTTTATTATTCATTCCTTGGGTCTGAACTGTCAAACCAAGCAAGAGGCATGAAATTCTCAGTCATTGTGAAATTGCTGATGCACCCACCCAACCAGCAAGACATCCTATATCCACCGCGTGCCCGGTCAGTCTGCATAGGTCTCATGAACGAACGACCCTCACATGCCCTCACATGCCTGGTGGCATCCAGGCTTTCCCATGTCCATTGCGTATCTATTCCCTGGGCCACATATATGTCACGAGTGCATCACATGACTGAGTCCTTCTGGTCTCTTCCTCATAGCGGGGCTGATAACACATGAATTACTGCCGATCAAAGTTCACAAGGTGAGTCTTTATTAACTTCCAACGCTGATTCCTTGGAAGAAATCTTGTTCCATTGGTAAAGCCATACTTGCTCATGGTAAAAACACAAACAACGCTAAAGCATACGAAGTAAAAAACTTCCTTACAACTGCGCCCCCTCTGAGGCTGCCTCCAGCAGGAACTCACCGCTCAGCCCCTGTTCCCGGCCTTTTGGGGGCCGGCTGTGCCCTGCCCCTGCCTGGATCCTGATGCCCCAAGGCTGGGCATGACTAGGGGAGGCCTGGAGGAGCCATCCCGGCCGCACATCAGGGCCAGTTCCACCTCGGGGCCTGCCAGGAGCTTGGCCAGCGCTGCCGCCGGGCCCACTGGGGGAGGAGGGGGGAGGAAGGCCAGCACTCCTGGGCTGCAAGGTCCTTGTGCAGAGGAGCCCTGCCCGCCGGAGCCCTGAGACATGGGCATGCTCTCGCTCACTCTGCATGGGCCAACCCCGTGCTCTGCTACAGACTCCCCGGGACCCAGCCCCAGGCACTCTGAGCCGCACTGCTTTCCTCTGAAGGGTTAATGGCACAGAAGGGACTGGAAGAAATGGGTGGGTCTGCCCTCCAGGAGATCCCAGGGTGGGGCTGGTCTCGGGAGGCCCAGCCCTACAGAGGGCAGGACTCCTTGCTCCCCTCCCCCACGGCGAGTCAGGGAGCTGAGCTCCATCTCCCCAGGACAGCAGCGGGAGGACGGGGTGTGGAAGCACACACCGGCCACTTCCACCCCGGCAACCTGTCCAGGCTCCGTGGCACCCAGAGACCTCCGGGACGGGATGCCAAAGTGTCTGTGAAGATCCTCTCCCGGAGGGTGGCCCCCGGATGTACTTTCCTAGGCTTCTTGTCAACATGGTCCCTGAAGACTCATCAATGGTGGGACTTGGGGTGCAGAATGTGTGTGTGGGGGGCACCCACTCCCCCCCCCCCCCACAGTGTCCCAGCAGTCTGGGCTCACCTGCACACAGAGCCAGAGGCAGGTGCTCAGCAGCAGCAGCGAGCTATTTGGTGAGTATGTGTGCCCGGGGTGGGGCCTCTCCATTCTGGTAGAACCAGAGCCAGCTCAGAGCTCACGCGGTCGGATCTCCTGGGTCCACCCTCGTAGCCCACAGTGTCCTTCACATCTTAGAGCCGCCGTCCCGTTGAGAAGCAGGTGCTCTCCACCCCTCAGAGCAGCCCATCCTCCTGCCAGTCCCCTCCACCTGCTGGCACTTTCCTCTTGGCAGCCCCTAACTTGGGTGTGTATGTGTGTGTGTGTCTGGACACTGTTGCTCCAGCCAGCCTTTGGGACAAGAGAGTCAGCTGGGGCGGGGCGGGGGCAGGAGAAGCAATAAGTTAATCCAGAGAGGTAGCAGGCTAGGGGGGCGCGTTCCGGGGGCCCCAGGCGCCTCTGGCTTGACCCAGGTGTCGGGAAGGAGATGGCGGAGGCAGGATGCCCGGCAGGAGGTGGCTCAGAAGGCTGGGTTGTCGATGCCTCTGGGGCCCCCAGGATGGTCTTCAGGCCTGAGGCTGTAGGGAGGAGGTGGCTCCATGGGGGGCAGGCCCAGGTCCGGCTTCAGAATAATCTGCAGGGAATGGCGGGGACAGACACAGAGACCGCTCAGGGCCTGGCGCTGGCACTGCCACCCACGTGCACCAGGGACAGGGGTGGCCCAGTGCTGCTGCAGGGCGCTCGCCGGGGTAAGGAGCCTCCGCCGTCCCCGCTGCTCGGAGAGCCGGACAGCGGGGAGGTGCAGGAGGCCACGGGCCGGGCGGAAATCAGGACGGACACCCACCTCACTGTAGGAAGGTGGGGGCTCAGGGATGGGCACCACGGTGACCCTCTCTGTGGGGGCGACGGGGGGCTGTTCTGGGGGCCTCATGTGATCCACCAGGGGGTCCGGTTCCTGCTCATTGCAGCGCCGGCAGAAGCTCCTGGCCAGGCCGCACATGCACATGATTGGCATCAAGACCAGGAAGACGATGATGATGACCCTGGGAGAGGAACCACCACCACCATCATCATCCTGAGCCTCAGCCATCCCCGCCGCACCTCCCTCCTTCCCTCCATCCCTCCCTCCCCTGCCCTGCACCCACCCCCAGGCCAGGAAGGCCAGCCTGTCCTGTGCGGACCAGGCCCCTCAGAGGGCTGTGCCCAGGGGCGCTGGCCCAGGCTCACCTAAAGGGGCCGGAGAAGAGCCCATTCTCCCGGCAGCAGGTGTTCCCGCAGCATTCGAATCCTTCGGGGCAGAATCTTGTGGGGCGGAGAGAGGCTGCTGTTACCAAGGCGGGGAGGCAGAAGGACCCAGTCTCCCCCAAACGCACCCAGACACTCAGGACACGAGCCATGCCCCTTGTGGGGTGAGGGCAGGGGCCCCTTCTGGGCTCGGTGGGAGGAACCTGGGGCGGGGATCAGAACCAAGGTCCAAGGACATCTCACTACGGGCCTTGTGCACTTGGGCCCTGCTCCTTCCCGGGCCTCATTTCCCTCGTCTACAAAAGGGGTGTAAGGAGAGTCCTGCCGACCGCAGTGGGTAGGGGTGAGGGACTGAGAGGGGAGGTGGAGAGAGGGGAAGTGGGGAGTGCTCAGGAGCTAATGGAGGAGGAGCGAGTGCCCACAGAGGAGGAGGGAGAAGGAGCCGGAGTTCCTGCCACACGCGGTGCTGACTCTCCTGCCCATAGGCCACCCGCCTTCTCCAGAAGCTCAGGCTTCCGGCATTTCTATATGAAGGTCCCACACCGTTTGCCGCCCCCCCCTCCCAGGGTCCCTTCAGAGGGGAGAGGGCCTGAGACTGTGGCAAGGAGGGGGGCTCGGCTTCAGAATGCCCACGGTGTGAAGCCCCCCCGGCCCCGGGGTGGCTGGTGGGGAGCGGGAGGGGCAGTCTCCTTCTCTGGGTAGGGGTGTGTGGGGTGGTTTCTGGCTAGAAGGGTAGAAGGTGAGGGTGAGGGCGATGGATGTGGCATTCCCTCCCATGAAGGCAGGCAGGACAGGTGTGGGGTGCCTCCTCCCCAGTTTGGAAGTTACAGCCCAAACCCCAGACTTACAAGGGGCCACATCCTGCGGCAGCCTGTGGAAGCAAAGAGGCAGAAGTTAGGGCCGTGAACTTGGATGCTGTCCAGGTCCCCAGTGGAGTAGCCTGCTCTCCACCTGACTCTGCCATGCCCCCAGGTCCATGATGGCTGCCGGCTGGGGGCCTCCAGCTCTCCTTCCTCTCCTCCCCCTCCTCCCACCACATTCACTGCTCCCCAAGTCTGTAAGCTCACGCCCTCTTACATCTACAATTCAGGACGCTAAACTCTCCTGCTGCCACCAGAGTCCCTTCCCACAAAAATCTGATGACCGGCAACCTGGCTGGAAGGCCCTGACCCCCAGCCTCCAGCCTTAGCTGCCCTCTCCCATCTCGCACACACACCCACTGGGAGTTCCCTGCACACACCCCGCTGCTTTACCCCGACAAGCAGGGGCAGGCCAACCCTCTTCCCCACGCCTTCGTGGCCTGCTGAGCCCCATCCATGCCTCAGATCCCTGCCTGGCAGGGCTCCTCGCTCTCTGAAGCCGCCCGGCCCTGCTCTCTGGAGCCAGCCCCTCTCCCTAGCTCTCCTACACTAGTTCTGTGGGGCAGGCAGGGGTCTGTCCAGAATCCCAGCCCATTCATAGCAATGATGTGTAGTGCTTGGCACAGTCTTCCCCCAGGTATCTGCAAGGCTGCCCCAGCACCTTCCTTCCTGACCGTCTTACTTAAAAGTTACACCACCGGCCCAGAGCAGTCCCCTCCCCTCATGGCGCTTCCCGTTTCTGCATGAGCTCTTATCAACATGTAACATGCCACGTGTGTTCCTTTATCTTGTTAATTGTGTGTTCCTGGGTAGAGCATAAACTCCACAGGGGAGGGATGTGGGTCTGTTTTGTTACTGTTGAAAACCCAACAATATCGGCAGAATGAAAGGGCATTCGTTGGTCACTTGGCTTCATTTCTTCCCGGCCGCTCCCAGACCTGGTCTGGGAGGAATGCAGCGATGGGAACAGAGCAGGGAATGAGCGGTTATGTCACCCCAGCATCCCAGGGACAAACAACCAGGGCTCAAGAATAAGAAGGTAAGGCCGGCCCTAACCGGTTTGACTCAGTGGATAGAGCATTGGCCTGCGGACTGAAGGGTCCCAGGTTCGATTCCGGTCAAGGGCACGTACCTTGGTTTCAGGCACTCTCCCTGAAGGGAGTGTGCAGGAGGCAGCTGATCGATGCTTCTAACTCTCTATCCCTCTCCCTTCCTCTCTACAAAAACAACCCAAAACAATAAAATATATATATATTTTAAAAAGAAGTTAAGTCTGGCCAGCATGGCTCAGTGGTTGAGCATGGACCTGTGAACCAGAAGGTCATGATTCAATTCTGGTCAAGGGCACATGCCTGGGTTTGGGCCTCGATCCCTAGTGTGGGGCCTGCAGGAGGCAGCCAATCAATGATGCTCTCTCATCACTGACGTTTCTATCTCTCTCTCCCTCTTTCTTCCTTTCTGAAATAGATAAAAATATAAAGTAAAATAAAATAGAAAGAAGTTAACTTTGGTGAGACCATCCTATCTTTAGACCTTTTCTTGAAATAGTCCAGTAACATAACAATTGCTAATGACAACAGCAGCGGAGCTAAGAATATCCCTGACAGCCCCCTGTGTGTGCAGTCGCGTGTGCCAGCGCCTCACACGGGTGGTCAGTGGGGACTGGAGCAGCAGTGAATCCCTGAGGCAAGTGAGCCCAGGGAGGGGCAGGGCCACACAGCACAGAGGGGCCACGGCAGAGCGGGGACAAGACCAAGGGGTCCAGACACTCAGTGGCAGCCCCTTCCCCTTCAGATCCCACGCCCTACCCCTCCTCCCTCTGCTGGCCCCCAGATAAGCAGAACAGATATGAACAGCTTACTAAGTTTGCCCTGAGTTCCTGTTTGGGAGGGATAGGAGATCTTCTCTCAGATCCTCTTCCCCCATATGGGGGGGGGGTCTTGTCTGAGGTGGTCTGGGATGGGGGGGGTCTTGTCTGAGGTGATCCAGAGCCCGAGTTCTATCAAGTGTCAGGATGAACTTGGGGAATCTCAGCTTACAGTCATGTGCTGCATAAGCACGTTTTGGTCAATGACAGACCACATAGACAACAGTGGTCCCATCTATCTATCTATCTATCTATCTATCTATCTATCTATCTATCTATTACCCTAATATGCAAATCAACCAAACAGCAGAATGACCTGTGGAACGACTGGATGCTATGACATGCACTGACCACCAGGGGGGCAGATGCTCAATGCAGGAGCTGCCAGGTGGTGCCAGGCCAGCCAAGGTGAGTGGGAGTGGCCCCGACTGGAGGCGACTGGTGGCGGTAGGGGACAGGGCCGGCAAGCGGGCAGCGCCAGGTTAGCCAAGGCATGTGCAAGTGGGTGCCCTGATCGCCCCACTGATTGCCCCACAGATCAGCCCTGATCGCTGGCCAGGCCTAGGGACCCTACTCGTGCACCAGGCCTCTAGAAAGATTCTAATGGAGCTGAAAAGTCCTGTTGTCTAGTGATGCCATAGGCAGCAGAGCAACTTCCAGTCCTGTAAGCTCCATCCCGGTTAATGCCCCACACAGGTGTACCGTTTTTTAAATTGTTTATATAAGTGGTCGGCAAACCGCGGCTCGAGAGCCACATGCGGCTCTTTGGCCCCTTGAGTGTGGCTCTTCCACGTGCGGTACAGTGCGATTGAAACTTCGTGGCCCATGCAGAAAAGTCGGTTTTTGGCCTGGGGGAGTCTATTTTGAAGAAATGGCGTTAGAACACTCAAGGGGCCAAAGAGCCGCATGTGGCTCGCAAGCCGCAGTTTGCCAACCACTGGGCTACACCATCTAGGTGTGTGTAGGTGCATTCGATGAGGCTCCTGCGATAAAACCACCCAACAAGGCATTCTGAGCATTTGCACCGGTGGTTAACCAGAGCATGGCCTCACCTTACGTACAGGTGAGTCGGGGACAGTGGCAGCACCTGCCCCCTGAGCTGTTGGGAGGAACCAACAAGAGGATGGAGGCTCAGCCTAGTGAGGCCCAGACTGAGGCCGAGGGCCTGAGGAGAACCAGGGCTTCGGGGCAGAGCGGCCCTGAAAGTCAGCGAAGCCAGCCTGGTTCAAACCCGTCTTCAGACGCACACAGGTCTCCAGGGCCTCCCATCCAGGCCTGAGTAGCATTTCCCCTTCCCTGGGATGAGAGAGGGTGTGAGAGGGGGTGTGTGAGAGAGGGGGTGTGAGAGAGGGTTGAGAGAGAGGGTGTGTGAAAGGGTGTGTGAGAGGGGATGTGTGAGAGGGTGTGTGAGAGAGGGAGTGTGAGAGAGGGTTTGTGAGAGAGGGGATGAGAGAGAGGGGTGTGTGAGAGGGTGTGTGAGAGAGGGGTGTGTGAGAGGGGGTGTGAGAGAGGGGGTGTGAGAGGGTGTGAGAGAGGGTGTGTGAGAGAGGGAGTGTGAAGAGGGGGTGTGAGAGAGGGGTGTGAGAGAGGGGTGAGAGAGAGGGGGTGTGAGAGAGGGTGTGAGAGGGGATGTGTGAGAGGGTGTGTGAGAGAGGGAGTGTGAGAGAGGGGGTGTGAGAGAGGGGGTGAGAGAGAGGGGTGTGAGAGAGAGGGGTGTGAGAGAGGGTGTGTGAGAGAGGGTGTGTGAGAGGGGTGTGAGAGAGGGTGTGTGAGAGAGGGTGTGTGAGAGAGGGTGTGTGAGACAGGGTGTGAGAGAGGGTGTGTGAGAGAGGGTGTGTGTGAGAGAGGGGTGTGAGAGAGGGGGTGTGAGAGAGGGTGTATGAGAGAGGGTATGTGAGAGAGGGGGTGAGAGAGAGGGGTGTGAGAGAGGGGTATGTGAGAGGGGGTGTGAGAGAGGGTGTGTGAGAGAGGGTATGTGAGAGAGGGGTGTGAGAGAGGGGTATGTGAGAGGGTGTGAGAGAGGGTGTGTGAGAGAGGGTGTGTGAGAGGGTGTGTGAGAGAGGGTGAGAGAGGGGGGTGAGAGAGAGGGGTGTGTGATAGAGGGTGTGAGATAGGGGGGTGAGAGAGAGGGGTGAGAGAGGGGTGTGACAGAGGGGTATGTGAGAGGGTGTGTGAGAGAGGAGTGTGAGAGAGGGGATTGTGAGAGAGGGGGTTATGAGAGAGGGTGAGAGAGGGGTATGTGAGAGGGGTGTGAGAGGGTGGGTGAGAGAGGGTGAGAGAGGGGTGAGAGAGAGGGGTGTGAGAGAGGGTGTGAGAGGGGGTGTGAGAGGGGGTGAGAGGGTGTGTGAGAGGGTGTGTGAGAGAGGGAGTGTGAGAGAGGGTGAGAGAGGGTGTGTGAGAGAGGGGTATGTGAGAGGGGTGTGAGAGGGTGGGTGAGAGAGGGTGTGTGAAAGGAGGGTGTGCTGCCCACTCGCAGAATCACAGATTACAGAGCCAGCCTTGGGTCAGCAGCCGGATGAAATCCCCCCAGGGGGCTGGGTTCTGCCCACTCCTAGGAAGGGCCTAGGAGCCAGCTCTCCCTGGAGGACAAGCAAACACAGTCCAGAGACGGCCAGGACCTCCCCAAGGTCACCCAGCCCTGGAGGGACAGAGCTGGGAGACAGGCTAGCCAGGCGTTCAGACCTCAGCCCCAGACAGTCCGCTCTCTGACGCACCGGGGAGCGGGAAGGTCTGACTACCCAAGGCCAAGGTGCGGGTCAAAGTCCCCGGGCGCACAGGTGCCAGGTGTCAGATGGGGGTGGGCGGGGGTCAGAGTCACTGCACAGCCCCCCCTCCCCCGAAGGCGAAGGAGCCCCGGCCTTTCCAGGGGCTCCCTCGGCTGCCCCCACCTGCACCTCCCCAGCAAAACGGGAAAGGAAGTGGCTCATTGCGTGCGGCCAGGAGGAAGCCCTAACAATGGGAGGTGGTGACCCGGCTCCAGGAGCAGGCCCGGGACCCCCCAAGGCCGGACCCTGAAAGTTCCAAAGCTTTACCTCCCGAAGGCTCACCTGGTGGAGGCCGGCCAGCAGGCCGAGCAGCAAGGCGGGGGAGAGGCGGCGGACCCAGGCGTCCGACATCCCGGCGTTGGGGCCACTGAGCTTCCGTGTGTCAGGGGAGGAGGGGAGGGGAGGAGGGGAGAGGCGGGGCGGGGCCGCGACTTCTCCCACGTCTCTCCACCTATGGGGGCCGCCTCGGGCGGGGCGGGGCGGGGCTTCCGCACCTCCCCAGCCGGACTTGGGGCGGGGAGGAGGCGGGAAGCCGAGGGGAGAGGTCCGGTTTGGTGACGGTAATTGGGAAGCAGATGAGATAATTGGGAAGCAGATGAGATTAGTTGAGAAGTAGATGAGACTAATCGGGGGAAATTGTGGGGTCAGATCAAGGCTACTAAGCTACCCCTTCCCAACTCCCAACCAGTGCCCGCCCCCCTAAGCGGGCCCAGGCTGAAGGGCGGGATGCTGCGCCGGGCAGGGGGGCGAGAGGATGCTGGCGGAGGGGCCCCTGGAAGTCCCTTCGCCCCTGGCCTTCTGCGGGGCAGAGGCTGAGGGGAAAGGAGGTTCCGGAGTGGATTCAGGGTGTTGTATGGGGGAAAGTGCCCCCTCCCCATTTTTTTTTTTTTTCCTTTCTCTCTTTTTCTTTTTTCTTTTTTGCCAAGAAGGAAGGAGGAGGGGGCCTGGCTGACTTCTGGGGCAGGAGAACCAGGAGCACCGCCCCGGTACAACCGTGACCCCTACCTGCCTACGCGCACTTCCTCTTTTTGACCGCAGGGGCAGTTAAGGCCCCAGAGTTTGGAGATTTGCCTCCGGGTTCGAAATGGGGCTGAGACGCAGCCGGGGAGGCTCGGCGCTGGCGAACCGGTCCGCCCGGATTCCTGGGGAGACCCCGCGCGGGCCGCGCCAGCCCCGAGGGGCGGGATCCCCACCCGCCGCGGCCACGCCCCGGCCCTCGAGGCGTGCGGCGCTTCCCCGGTCCCGCCGGCAGGTGGCAGCATCGCCCAGCCCGGGATTTCCCGGGAGCGAGGGGCCGCGGGGCTGGGACCTGGGACCTGGGACCTGGGACCTGGGTCTCTCACGCTCCCACCTTGGGGAGCTGGCTGATGGACGGGGTGGGGTGCCGTCTCGGAGGTGATGGGCGCAGGATGAGACCTGTGGGAGCAGAGCGGGAGCAGGAGAGATGAAGCCCGGATGGTGGGCGGAGAGCTGCTCTTGGGCCTGGGGGAAAGGGAGGGCTCCAGGACGTGCTAGTCCTTATGTTGTGAGATGTCTCCTGCTGCGTCTCAAATCCGGTTTTCCCCTGGAAGCTATCCCCAAGTTCGCGTGAAAGGACAGCCGGGCCCCTCCGGCCCGCTTTGCTTGTCCTCTTTATCTCTGCTTCCCATCTCCCCCAGGCCTGTTATCTCTGTTCAATGTTTACACTTCTAGTCCGCTCCCCAGGCCTCCCAGTCCATCTTCCTGTTTCAGTTTCCATTCAGTTTCTCTCCATTTCTCCGTGTTCCCCTCTGTTTCCCATCTCTATCTCTCCTTTCTTCCTCAGTCCGTTCGTCTCAGCCGAGGACTCTGGTTTTCTTTCTCCGTTTCCACTGATTTCCTACCTATGTGTATGTGTGTCTTTCTCACCAACGTTTTGGCCTCTCTCTGCCAGTATATCTTTCCCCGGTCTCTCTCTCTCTCTCCTCTTTCCCTGTCCTTGTTTCTCATCATTTCTCGTCCCTTTTTGGCCCCTAAGGACAGGATCTTCTGGTCTCCTGATCTAAGTGGAGTTAGGGTCTGGCCCTACAGAATGCCTCCTCTATTCTCATTTCTTGGTGACTCTGAGCTTGGCGAGGGGAATGTATGTGGGGTGGAGGCACCTCTTCCCTCACGCCTCCTGCAGGTGGCTCTGTACCCAGCCTGCCTCTCTGCCAAGGGGGGCCTAGGTCAGAGCGCCCGTTCTGCTGTCTCCTTGGCAAAGCCATTGCCAGCGTGGACTCCTCAGGCCTTCCCACCCCTGCCCTAGCCTCACTGCGTCAGCACCCAAGGTTGGGTGAGGGGGTGTCTCCACCACCCCTGCTGCCACTCTGCCAGGCCCAGAGCCCTGAGAGGAGAGGAAGAGAGGGGAGTTCAGAGGAGGAGGATGCCCTGGGGAGTGAAATGGGGGTGCTGAGAGGGCATGGAGGGGTTTGTGGGGTAGACGTGGGAAGCTGGGAGGGCTGAGGGAAAGGGACCGGGCAGGCACCAGAGCCCCTGGGGATGGGCAGGAGGAGGGCGGGAGGCTGGCATCATTCCCTCGGCTCTCTGGCATCCACCTGGCACAGAGCTAGGGCTGCCAGACAAAATGCAGGACACCCGGTTGTAGCTGAATAATGGATAATATTTTCACCATGACTGTGTCCTGTGCAAAAGTTGGGATCTGTTTACACTAGAATTTATTTGTTGTGTACCTAAAATTCATATTTAACTAGGTGTTCTGTGTTTTTATTTGTTGGGTCTGGCAACGCCACCCACATCCCTGAAATGTCACAGAGCAGGCATTTGAGAAGAGCTGCTCCAGCCCACAGCTCCCCGGGGGGGGGGGAGGGGGGAGGAGTAAGGCTCATGGGGAGGGGACCGCAGGGCCCCTGGACCCTGCCTCCGGGACCCCAGTTTTTTCATGACACAAAACTGCCCTTCTATGCTCCTTCCTGCAAACGGGGAGGGGGAGAGCCTGGAGGTGGGTGGTCCCAGCCCAGGCGAGAACACTGACCCTCGTTGTCAGCATCCACCATGGCTCCCGGGGGCCCCAGCATTCTTCATGCGCGAGGTCGGGTTGGGGTGGGGGCACAGTGGGACCCGGGACAGAGCAGACAGGAGGCAGTTCTTGTGTAGAGGCAGGAGGGTCGTGGGCAGGGCCAGCCTCTGCTGTTCGATGCTTCCTCTGGCAGAGGGAGGGGAGTGGGTGCCCGCGTGCACGTGTGTGCTCTGGCGTGCGGGGGGCAGCGAGGCCCGGGGACCTCATGCGGTCAGTGGGTCCTTCTGGATTCCACACCACATTCCGTCTGGGATTTCCCAAGAGCAGCAAAGTCCAACTGTCCTCATACGCGCCCGCCACCGCCCCGGCCCTTTCACCAAAGAACGAGCTGATTGTGCCTCCTGCGAGGGCCCAGCTGGAAGGGTCTGGGAGGTCAGCGAGTCCACCAAAGAGGCCAGCGGGAGCTCAGAGGGGTGGGGAGGCCAAGCCACCCGGGACACTGGGGCTGAGTCAGGACCAGACCCACGCGGGTGTCGAGACCCCACAGCCAGTGGCAGCCTCAGGCGGCAGCTGCTGCCGCGATGGGAGAATCCTGCCTGGGGACCCCATGAAGCCTGACTGAGTCGGGCCCAGGCCCCGGGTGAGGGGGAGGAGCCAGGCCAAGCTCTGTTCTCCTCTGCCCGCTCCCACCATACTGTGGTGGACACGCATATCCACGATGGCTTACGGCTGTGGGCTGGATTCTTTTATTTTCTTTTCTTTTAAAAAAAAAATATTTTATTGATTTTTGTACAGAGAGGAAGGGAGAGAGAGAGTTAGAAACATCGATGAGAGAGAGTCATCGATCAGCTGCCTCTTACACCCCCCCACTGGGGATATGCCCGCAACCAAGGTACATGCCCTTGACCGGAATCGAACCCGGGTCCCTTCAGTCCCCAAGCCGACGCTCTATCCACCGAGCCAAACCGGTTTCGGCTGGATTCTTTCTTTTCAAAGCTCAACAGGACATTCTGCTCTGGCCCGGCTCTGCCTGCAGGGACGGCGTCCTGTTATGTTGCTACGTGTGCCGCTTACTGTGGTGTGCTGTGTGACCTTAGTCCAGACACCTAACGTCTCTGTGCCTCTCTAAAAACTCCTCTGTGAACGAGGCGGGTGGGTAACTTACTTTTATCACACAGGGTCATAAAAGCCCCTCAGTGTCTGGAATACAGTAATGGTAAATAAACGTTCGTTTAATAACGACATGCAATAAGTGTTTTATTGCTGGCAAAAGAAAGAGGCCCAAAGCTCCCTGTTTTCATTTCACATAGAGGCAGAGCGAGGTGACGGAATTTAAGGGTTTGCCTCCTCCAGAGAGAGTTCTCCCCAGAACGCTGGCTCGCCATCGCCCTCTGCTGGCCATCTAGTGTTCTGCACCTGACAAGGGCCAGACCAGAGAGGGCTGGTGCCCACTCCAAGGGCCATAGGAGGCCGATGGGACAGTCATTTGATAAGTCCCCTCTATTTCTGCTTTGCCCCCCTCCTCCTCCCCCACTGCCTGGGTTGGCCTCCTGGTGGTGCCTTCCTGTCCCTCAGGCTGAGCACTCGGGGGGACTGGGGCCCCCGCTAGTCACAGGTGTCCCTGTTGTCATCGCCCCCAAGCGGTGTGGCTCCCCAGGGCCATCACAACCATCTTCCCAAGACCTCCAGCCTAGGCACTCCATGGCCTACTCTCTTGCTCCCTAATTTCCAGAGGCTCCCCGACTTCTGCCTGAATAAAGTCCAGGCTCAGGGAGTCCCAGCCCCAACCTGGCCTGGAGTGTGCGCCTTTGCTTTGCCCGTGACCTCCAGCCACACACCCGACCCTTTCCTGCTCCCCTCCTTTCCTCAGCTGGGGTGTCCCCCTCCCCCCAACACAAGTCCCCAGACCACCCCCCCCCCCCGAAACCTAACTGATTCTCACCCTGACCTTCAGAGCTCTGCTCGGATCCCACCTCCTCCGGAAAGCCTTCCAGCACTCGGACCTTCACAAGAAGGGACTGTTCCCTCCCTGCTGCCCCCGCCAGGCCTTCTCGGCTTCTCTCCTCCATGTGTGCACATGTCCTGACTGCCCCCACCCCCACCCCACCCCCCGGCTTCGGGGCCGGCCCAGCTCTGATTCAGCCTTCATTTCCCCACGGTGCTTTGTTCCGAGTAAACACGGGCTCTGTGGTCTCCGGGCTGGAGCTGCTTGGGGCCCTCCTGAGGTCAGGGGCCAGACCCCTCCCGGGAACAAATTTAGGGAATGAATTCCTGCCGTCCTCCTTGGGGAGCTGTGAGTTGTGGGGGGAGAGGGGGTGTCATTCCTGACTGACTGAGCTGCCCAACTCCACTGGCTGCATGGTTTGGGGAATCC